GGCTGCTGCTGCTGCTGGCCTGCTGCTTCGGGGGACACAAAGCCCAAGACACCCCCCCGTGGGCGTGGTGGCTGCTGTTTCCTGGCCTGTTGCTGCTGCTGGCTCGCGAGGCGACTTGCTGCTGCGCGCCGCTGCTGCTGCTGCTGCTCAGGCTGCTGCCTGCCGCTGCTGCTTATTTCCTTATTTCAGCTGCAACAGCAAACAAAAATAAATAAATAACCCTCTAGCCTTTCCCCGCACGTTGCGGCCTGCGCAGTCTGCAGCCCCCCAGGTGTATGTACATCCTCCATACATACACCCCAGCAGCGGCTGCAGCGGCAGCAGCGGCAGCAGCAGCTGCTGCTGCTGCGGCTGCTGCGTTTCCGGGGACCCTTTCCACTTCTTGTCTTGCTTTTTGCTGTCTTGGTTCCCTCAGCGCCTTTAATTTCAACTTCATTTAGGTTTGCGTAATTGCAAGAGTTGGACAACAGCAGCAGCAGCAGCAGCATCCGCCGCAGCAACACCAGCAGCAACACCAGCAGCAGCAGCAGCGGGCACCCCCCAGCCGCTCGCTCGCCCTCTATTGCATTTCCTTTCTTTTTCTTTCCTTTTTATTTTCATTTATTCAGAGCTTTGAGTTCGCGCAGCAGACAGTCAGCAGCTGCTGCAGCACACGGGAGGAATGCCGCCGGGGGGCCCCGCTGCTGTTGCTGCTGCTGCCGTTGCTGCTGCTGCTGCTGGAGCAGGCGAGAGCCGCTGAGCTACCATGAGACTCCCTTGTGCTGCAGATACTTGCGGGGCTGCAGCAGCAGCAGCACTGCATGCGTAGGCCTCTTCAAGAGCCCAAGACAGCGGCTGCAGCAGCAGCAGCAGCAATGACGGCAGCAGCGGCGCAGCAGAAGCAGCTGCAGCAGCAGCAGCCTCGACGCAGGGGCCGGCCGCCCAAAAAGGCCGCAAAGTCAATGCAGCAGCAGGAGGGGTCCTCCTCGGCTGAAGGAGCAGCAGCAGCAGCAGCAGCCCCAACAGAGGGACAAGCAGCAGCAGCAGCAGAAGCCAGCAGCAGCCGAAGCAACAGTGAAGGAGAGGATGCAGCAGAGAGGCCGCAGCCGCGGGCCCTCCGCAGAACGCCAGCAAGGGAAAAGACAGCAGCAGCGCTGCAGCAGCAGCAGCTGCAGCAGCAGCAGCAGCAGCAGGAGCGGCAGCAGCAGGATGTGAATGGCCAGCCCGAAAAGGAACCCAGCTCTGGCGCAGAAAAGCCACACGCTGCTGCTGCTGCTGCTTCTCCTGCGGCTCCCCGCCGCTCACTCCGGGTGCAGCAGCTATGTGAAGCAGCCAGCAGCAGCAGCAGCAGCAGCGGCAGCAGCAGCAGCAGCAACGGCAACAGCAACAGCAGCCTCAACAGCGGGGGCCCTAGTGAGCGTCGGCCATCTTGTGGAGCTGCAGCAGCGACGGATGAAGCAGCACAGCCAACTGCTGCAGCAGCAAAAGAAGCCGCAGCGGAAGCAGCAGCAGCAACGGACGCAGCGGCAGAGGAAGCAACAGCAGCAGCAGCAGCAGCAGCAGAGACACCTGCTGCTGATGAGTCAGAGGATGATGGAGCCCCGCAGAGGGGCCCGAGGCGCTCCTCCCGCCTCTCCGCAATCCCCAGCAGCAGCAGCAGCAGCAGCAACCTCGGGGCCCCTGCTGCAAGGGCCTCCCCTCGAGGCAGCAAGCCTGCTGCTGCTGCTGTTGCTGCTGCTCCCGCTGCGTCTGAGAAGCGCCGGGGGGCCCCCAGCGCCGTTGAGGGGCCCCCAGCCCGGCGGCGCAGAGACGAAGCAGCAGCAGCAGCAGCAGAAGGGGGAGTCAAGAAGGAAGCAGCAGCAGCAACAGCAGCAGCAGCAGCAGGGGAAAGGGGCAAGCCTTTCAACGCGGACTTTGGGGGAGTCCCCTGCTGCAGCTTGCTGGAGGTGAGTGCAGCAGCAGCAGCAGCAGCAAGTGGCTGCTGCCTCATTTCGAAGCAGCAGCAAGACGCAGAGGCGCGCAGGTGGAGGCGAGCCATACGCACCCTCATGCGTCAGCAGCAGCAGCAGCAGCAGCAGAAGCAGCAGCAGCAGCAGCAGCAGCTGCCGCGGGTGTACTGCCCCCACATGCCTGAAGCCAGCGAAGGCGGTGCTGCTGCTGCTGCTTTATATTTCGACATTTTGAGGTGCACCAAACAAGGGTTTGTGTCTCCTCACCTCCAGGTGCCAAACCCTAAACCCTAAACCCTAAACCCTAAACCCTAAACCCTAGCTGCGGGGCTTTCCCTCCTCTCCCGGGCTCACAGGCGCATCCCTAGCACCGCCTCCGCCCCCCGAAGTAAACAAACAAACAATTAATTAATTATTATTTATTTATTTATTTATTATTTATTATTTATTATTTATTATTTATTTGTTTATTTCAGGTTGTTGAAATCACTGATGACAGACACCCCCTCCGCCTGGGGGCCCCCCTAGACCGCCCAGTCTTTGCGCTGCGCTATATGGGGCCCCCCATCCCTGGGGGGCCCCC